GTAAAGATTTCAACAGTTTGCACCCCCATAGAAACACAAAGCGAAATATACTGTTTGAGTACTCATTATAGCATTAAGTCTCAATGTACAGCACATTAAGGACAGAGATCCTACATGAGGAGTAAGTGCACAGTGACTCCTGTTGTTGACTTTACAAATTGACACTCCTGTTTATGGCATCAGTAATCTCCCTATGCACCAGTCATGAGTTTCCAAGGCTATGGAAGCCCCTTGAGTTCTCCGACTCTTATATTGTTTAGACAAGGTCATATTCAAAGTGGAGGTTCTCTCCTCCCTTCAGAGAAAGGCACCTCCTTCTTTGAAGACCTGTTCTTTCCACTGGGATCTCATCACAGAGATCTTTCATTAGGGTGTTTTTTTTTTTTTTTTTTTTTTTTTTGGCCAGAGTATCTTGGCTTTCCATGCCTGAAATACTCTCATGGGCTTTTCAGCCAGATGGAATGCCTTTAGGGCTGATTCTGAGGCCAGAGTGCTGTTTAGGACATCCGCCATTCTATGAGTCTGCTGAGTATCTCGCTTCCCATTTGGATCACTCTCCCTTATTATTCTATCGGTTAGTATTAGCAGGTACTAGACTGTTTATGGCTTATTATTATTATTATTATTGAAGGGCAGACTGAGATCTCTCCATCTGATTCACTCCCCAGCTGCTGCAATAGCCAGGTTCCATGTGGGTAGCAAGAACCAACACTTGAGCCATTACCTGCTTCCAAGGATGCACTTTTAGCAGGACGCGGATCAGAAGTAAAGAAGCCAGGATGTGAATTAGGCACGCAGATATGGGATGAGGATTCCCAAGTGGCAACTTAACTGCAGTGTCACAATGGCATTGCCTCTTCTTAATTTTATTAAAAACTTAAGAGAACCAGAGATTGCAAGAAAAGAACTGCTATTTATTGGTTTGCTCCCACAAATGCCTGTAACAGCCAGGGATGGGCTAGGCTGAAGCTTGGAGCCAGAAACTCAATCAGGTCTCCCACATGAATGGCATGAGGACCACCATGACCTGTATTTCCAGGGCCTGCATTGCCAAGAAGCTGGAATCAGGAGCCAGAGCCAGGAATCAAACCAAGACATTCCAATGTCGGGACACAGAAATCTTAACTGCTAGGCTAAATGCTTGGACCAAGAATACATTATGGATACATGCAACGAACTTGGATGTGAGACCGAAATTCGCCAACAGCAGTTAAGTTGCTTGAGGGGCAGATACTGCAGTACAGCAGGTTAAGCCACTACCTGCCAATGCCAGTATCCCATATCACTGCCCAGTTCAAGTCCCAGCTGGCTCCCCTCCAATTCAAATCTCCTGCTAATGTGCCTCGGAAAGCAGTGGAAGATGACCCGACGTGCTTGGGACACTGACAATGATATGGGAGACTAAATAGTGTTCCTTGTTTCCAGCTTTGGCCTGGCCCAGCCCTGGAAGATGCAGCCATGGGGGGAGTTAACCAGCACATGGAAGATCTCTCTCATTCTCTTCAAATCAATAAATCTTTTTAAAAACAGAAGTAGGGCTGGCACTGTGGCACAGTGGGTTAGAGCCCTCAGCTGAAGTGCTAGCATCCTATATGGGTGCCGGTTCAAGACCCAGCCGCTCCACTTCTGATCCAGCTCTCTACTATGGCCTGGGAAAGCAGTGGAAGATGGCCCAAGTCCTTGGACCCCTGCACTCACATCGGAGACTCAGAAGAAGCTCCTGGCTTCGGATCGGTGCGGCCGTCTGGGGAGTGAACCAGCAGTTGGAAGACCTCTCCCTGCCTCCACCTCCTGTCTGTGCAACTCTGACTTTCAAATAAATAAATAAATCCAAACAAACAAAGCACAAGTAACTTGGGATGCCTGCATTCCATTGTCACAGGGCCCTACTTTGAGTCCTGGCTTCCTTTGTTTCTGATCCAGCACTCCTACTAACACACCACCCTGAGAAGCAGCAGATGATGGCTCAAATACTTGGGTCCCTGCCACCCTCATAGGAGACTCAGAATGAGTTCTGGCTCCTGACTTCAACAAATGCCTAGCCCTGCCTGTTGCAGGTATTTGGGAATGATCCAGCAGATGGAAGATTGCTCTGTTCGCTCTGCCTTTCAAATAAAATGAAAATTATTTTTTTTGAAAAAGGGAACTTAGGGCTGGCACTGTATCACAGCAGGTTAAATAGCTGCTGGTGGGCCGGCGCCATGGCACAATAGGGTTAATCTTCCACCTGTGGTCCCAGCATCCCATATGGGCGCCGGTTCTAGTCCCGGTTGCTTCTCTTCCAATCCAGCTCTCTGCTGTGGCCTGGGAAGGCAGTGGAGGATGACCCAGGTCCTTGGGCCCCTGCACCCGCATGGGAGACCCTGAAGAAGCACCTGGCTCCTAGCTTTGGATCAGCATAGTTCCGGCCGTTGCAGCCATTTAGGGAGTGAACCAACAGAATGAAGACCTTTCTCTCTGTCTCTCACTGTCTGTAACTCTACCTGTCAAATAAATAAAACCTTTAAAAAAAAAAAATTGCTGCTGATGATGTTAACATCCTGTGTCAGAGTACAGTTAAAATCCTAGCTGTTTTGCTTCTGATCTAGCTACCTGCTAATGTGCCCAAGAAAGCAGCAGAAAATGACCCAAGTATGTGCCTCTACTACCCATGTGCAGGACCTAGATGGAGTTCCTGGCTCCTGGTTTTAGCCTGGTCCAGTCCTAGCTGTTGCAGCCGTTTGGGGAATAAACTAGCAGATGGAAGATCTATTTCTGTCTTTCCCTCTAACTCTGCCTTTCAAATAAAGCTTAAAAAAACAAACAAACAAACAAACAAAAAAACCAACTTAGATGAACCCCAGAGGAATTATACTGAGTGAAAAAAAAAATCCCAAAAGAATGCACACAGTATGATTACATTTAAATAACATTTGTATTGTTATAAAAAAGAATAGACTGTTGGTTGCATCAGTTAGGAATAGAAGCAGGAAGGATATACACAGCTGTGGAGTGGTAGTATATACACATGATAAAACCGCATAGAGCCACACACAGAAATGAATGCAAGTTTAACAGGTCAAATCTGAACAAGCTCTATGGATTTTGCTAATGCCAATTCCTGGTTTTGATAGTGTTACTATAGTTATGCGTTATATCAACATTTGTAGAAGGCTGAGTGAAGGGTACATGGGACTTATTCTGTAAACTTTCTATTCCATTTTCTCTCTTTTTAAAAAATATTTATTTATTATTTGAAAGACACAGTTACAGAGAGAGGGAAAAACAGATCTACAATTTGCTGGTTCACTTAATGGCCACAACAGCCAGGATGGGCCTGGCTGAAGCCAATAGCCTGGAATCCCATCAAAATCTCCCACATGGGTGACAAGGGCCCAAGTAGTTCCGCCATCTTTTACTGTGTTCCCAGGCATATTGGTAGGGGGCTGGACTGCAAGCAAAGCAGCTGGGACTTGAACCAGTGCTCTGATATGTGATGGCGGCCTTGCAGGTGGCAGCTTAACCCACGGCACCACAGTGCTCGCCCCTATTCTTCATTCTCTTTGTATCTTGTTCATGTTTACCTTCCTGTCTGCCAAAATGCCTTCTTGTAAACTCTTCACATCTACTGATCAATTCATTAATTCCTTTCATCTCTTTCTAATCTATTTTAAAGTTCATCCACTAAATTTTAAATTTCTATAGTTCCTTTTTTCTGTCTACTTCTAGCATATTCTTTTTTTAAGATTCATTTATTTACATGAAAGCCAGAGTTACAGAGAGGCAGAGGCAGAGAGAGAGAGAAAGGTCTTCCATCTGCTGGTTCACCACCTAAATGGTCACAAAGACCAGAGCTGAGCGAACTGAAGCCAGGAGCTTCCTCCAGGTCTCCCACGTGGGTGCAGAGGCCCAGGTACTTCCACCATCTTCCACTGCTTTCCAGGCCACAGCAGAGACCTGGACTGCAAGTAGGGCAGACAGGACTCAAACTGGCACCCACATGGGATGCCAGCACTACAGGCAGCAGCCCAACCCACTAGGCCACAGCACCAGCCCTAGCATATGCTTATTTCTAGAATTTCTAAATCATTTGAGAGTTTCTTATTTTTGTTCCCTCTTTTAGTTTTTAAGTATTCTGCAGTTATTTTACATTGTTTCTAATAATTCCACTATCTAAATCCTGGGGATATCTGAATCTACTGGTTACTTCAGTTTCAGCAGTCACGTCCTATCAGTTAGTAGTTTTCTCAAAAAATCAATTCGGAGGTGCATACCGTGGTATGGCTCATTAAGCTGCAGCTTGGGCTACCAGCATCTCATATCAGAGTACCTGGTTCAAGTCCCAGGTACTTGGCACTTCCCATCCAGTTTTCTGCTAATGTGCCTGGGAAGCCCAAGCACTTAGGTTCCTGCCACTCATGTGGAAGACCCAGACACAGTTCCTGGCTCCTGGTTTTGGCCTGACTGTTGCAGGCATTTGGACAATGAACCAGCAAATGGAAGATTTCTCTCCCCACCCCCCACCCCGTCTCCTTTTCCCAATGCTTCCCATCTCTGTCATCCTTTCACATAAATAAATCTTTTTAAAAAATGAACTCTCATTTAGCTTTAATGATAGAATGAGGATGATTCTCTCTGCAGAGAATTGAAGTTTGTTTCTACCAGGTATCAAGGAACAAATTTAAAAGCTTTAATTTCTCCTCTTCCACAGTAGGAAAAATTCAAATAACAGATTCATGTGAGGACTGGTCTATGCTTTTAAACTCCCATAAGCAGCTCCCATGTACACCACAGCCCAGTCAAGATGAAAATAGAGTTCTCCCTAAGACTCTTGTCTCAAAGCAGATTATTTTTCAGTCCATTCATTCTTTCACTGCAAGTGTCGTCATTCTGCTCATAGAGGCTTCTACGCAGCCCACACCATGGCAGGTCCTCCAGCACAGCTGCTAATCCCCAAAGCTCGAGGTTCCAACAGGCACACACTTTTCTGCCCCTTTTTTATTCTCAGGCTTTAGTTCCCAGGTTTTCTTTGTTCAGTTTGGCTTCGGGAATATTTTTTATTTTCTTCTAGGCTCACCAAGGCATCCAAAAGTATCTTAAATGCTGTCATTGGGTGTCTACAGTGTTTTGGTTTTTTTTGGTGTTTTTTTTTTTGACAGGCAGAGTGGACAGTGAGAGAGAAAGACAGAAAAAGGTCTTCCTTTGCCATTGGTTCACCCCCCAATGGCCGCTGCGGCCGGCGTACTGTGGCCAGCGCACCGCACTGATCTGAAGCCAGGAGCCAGGTGCTTCTCCTGGACTCCCATGCAGGTGCGGGACCCAAGGACTCCCGGGCCACAGCAGAGAGCTGGACTGGAAGAGGGGCAACCAGGACAGAATCCGGCGCCCCGACCGGGACTAGAACCTGGTGTGCTGGCGCTGCAAGGTGGAGGATTAGCCTAGTGAGCCGCGGCGCCGGCCGTCTACAGTGTTTTTTAAAAGACTTCATCGAGAATCTATCCCACCACACTTCCACAAATTCCAAATAGGCTATGAATTTTAAATAAAAGAAACAACACATTGTCACTCTCTCCTTTACCAAATTCTACTTAGGCTCATATGATTTCTCAAGTAGGCCCTGACTTGGGGACTTCTGTGTTTGTCTCTGTATTGTCTAATTTTAACAAGAATCCTGCTAAGTTAGTTTAGCAGAATCTGCCCCATCCCTATCCTCAATACCTGATCATCCTCAATATCAAATCTGGTTCCTCATTTGATACCATTTCTCAGGTACTGTCTGATCATCTTGTCCTGACTCCATCAAGAATCCTGATGGTTGGATCAGCCAGAATCCTCCCTTACCTTTTAGTCATTTTCCATCTACTGACCCCACACCTGCTCCTTGGTATTTATTCCCACTTTTCCTTGTTATATCTGGAGTTGAGCTTATTCTCCCTCTCACACTGTGAAAGCACATTACTGGTCCTTACATCTACCTCTATAGCTCTCCCTTGAATAGAGTCGTTTTTATTATCTCTAACAAGTGTTTCATGAATAGTTTTTCCTTCAAATGTAATGACTATACATCAATGGATTTCTTTCATTCTCTATTTTTGTTTTTACTTACCCGTGCAAAGTCAAAATGAGGCTCATACTGTCCTCCAACTCCATAATTTGCTACCTGAAGGAAAGAAACAAAGTATGAATGAAATAACTTCAAGATAACCACTCCAAAAATAGGTAAGCCCCATTTTGGCCTTTTCTATATCATAGTTAAGTACTTGTAAAGAAAACAGGGGCCAGCGCTGTGGCATAGCAGGTTAACTCTAGCCTGAAGTGCCAGCATCCCGTATGGCCGCCGATTTGAGACCCAGCTGCTCCACTTCTGATCCAGCTCTCTGCTGTGGCCTGGGAAAGCAGTAAAAAATGGCCCAAGTCCTTGGGAAGACCTGGGGGAAGCTCCTGGCTCCTGGCTTCAGACTGGCCCAGGATGCTGCTGTTGCGGCCAACTGGGGAGTGAACCAGTGGATGGAAGACCTCTCTCTCTCTCTCTGCCTCTCCTCTCTCTCTCTCTCTGCCTCTCCTGTCTCCTCTGCCTCTCCGCCTCTCCTCTCTGTCTCTCTCTCTCTCTCTCTGCCTCTCCTCTCTCTCTCTCTGCCTCTCCTCTCTGTGTAACTCTGACGTGCAACTAAATAAATAAATCTTAAAAAAAAATAATAAAGAAAGAAAACAAAAGTATTTAAAAAATCAATGAGAGGGCCAGCATCCTGGAGCAGCAGACTAAGCCACCACTTACAGTGCCAGCATCCCATATTAGGGTGCTGCTTACGGTCCTGGTTGCTCTTCTTCTGATCCAACTTTCTGATAATGTACCAGGGAAAGCAGAAGATGGTAGCCTAAGTGCTTGGGCTCCCTGCCACCCATGTGGGAGACCTGGATGGAGTTCCAAGCTCCTAGTTTCAACCTAGTCCTCTGACACCACTGTGGCCATTTAGGGAGGGAACCAGTAAATCAAAGATCTTTATCTCCGTCTCTCCCTATCACCCCAGCTTTCAAATAAATAAAACATCTTAAAAAATAAAATCAATGAGAGTTAAGAAAACACAAAAAGCTAGATACCTCCTAATTGCTCTTTCAGAATCTTAGTTAATATGCTTTTTTTCTTCAATTTATTTTTTTAAAGATTTATTTGAAAGGCAGAGTTACAAGGAGAGAGGGAAATGCAGAGAGAGACATCTTTTGTCCATTGGTTCACTCCCCAAATGGCCACAGTGGCTGGGGCTGCGCGAGCCCAAGCTAGAAGATTCATCTGGGTCTCCCACATGGGTGCAGAGGCCCAAGCACTTGGGCCATCTTTCTTTGCTTTCCCAAGCACATTAGCAGGAAGCTGGATCAGAAGTGGAGCACTTGAGACTTGAACCAGTGCCCATATGGTATGCCAGCACTGCAACACCACCCACAGCTAATGTGTTTTTCTTTAGTAAATGTTTGGGGGACAAGTTTTTAACTACAAAACAAACTAACATTTTGGTATTTCTTTAACTTATTTTCCACTGGAATTTAAATTTTAAAAATTTTTCCCAAAGTCCCAAATACTGGTGAACTCTCAATTTATTTTAGTAAAAATCCCCCATTTTGACCTCACTTTTCCTCAGTAATGTAAAATAGGGAAGAAATTCACATCAGCTTAATTATTCTGGTGAAAGACTTGTTAGGGTCAGTTCATTTTGACAATGTCCCCAGTGTGAGGCAGCAAAAAAAAAAAAAAAAAAAAAAAAAAGAGAAATATTTTGTCCAGTTCAAGATTCAAGATCTCAGTTACAATGCATGTCGCTCTGAATATAATATCAGTTTTCTTATTTGTAAAATGAGAATGATACCTTCCTTAATTTGTTCCCTTCATCATAAGATAAAATGCTGACAAAATCAAACAAGAATGTAATTAAAAGAACTACTTATAAAATGGGAGGACAGAGTTGAGCGTTGCCCACAATGATGTCCACTTCATATGTAAATTAATATTACTACTCTGGATATTTTACTTTTTATGTTAGTAAATACTGTTGAATCAGACTATTAAATAGAAATGTATTAGCCTCAAAGACCTTGCAAAGGTTAGCCTCAAAGACCTTGCAAAGGTTAGGTAGGTTGAGTAAATATAGATTAAGGAAGAGAAGGACACATCAGGGACTGACGCTGTGGCATAGTGGGTAAAGCTGCTGCCTGCAGTGCTGGCATCCCATACGGGCGCCTGTTCGAATTCCAGCTGCTCCACTTCTAATCCAGCTCTCTGCTGTGGCCTGGGAAAGCAGTAGTAGATGGCCCAAGTACTTGGGCTCCTGCACCCACGTAGGAGACCTGGAGGAAGCTCCTGGCTTTTGGCTTCCGATCAGCCTAGCTCTGGCCATTGTAATCATTTGGGAAGTGAACCAAAGAATGAAGACCTCTCTCCTTCTCTGCCTCTGCCTCTCTGTGACTCTGCCTTTTAAATAAATAAATAAATCTTAAAAAAAACAAAAGACATCAAAGAGTTTTGTGGGTTTTTTTAATTTTTGTGTTATTAAATTTAAAGAGTTAGAGAAGAGGCAGAGAGAAATCTTACATCCACTGGCCCACTCCCCAAATGGCTACAATGGCCAACCCAAAGCCAGGAGCTTCATCTGGGTCTCCCACATGTGTGACAGGGTCCCAAATACTTGAGCCATCTTCCACTGCTTTTCCCAGGTCATTAGCAGGGAGCTGGATCAGAAGTAGAGTGGCTGGGACACAAACCAGCACCCAAATGGGATGCCAGTGCTGAAGGCAGCAGCTTCACCCACTACGCCACAACACTGGCCACTGGCCCCAAGAGTTTGCTTTTTTTTTTTTTTTTTTTTTTTTTTTTTTTTTTTTTAGATTACTATACAATAAATGACAACTTAATTAAGGAAATTTAAATATAGGCAGTCCTGTTTTACACACTTCTAATACGCACAAATCCTGGTTTCTACAGGATATTAACTGTGAGTAATTGCATAAAGCACAAACTTCGCTATTTCTTCAATCCACAAATTATTATGTAACAGAAGTCCACCATGACCAATGGCCAATAACATCACCTCTTGCAAAGTCTGTCAATGATCTGTTACTCAGCTCATGCACATTCAACAAAGTAAAAAGCTTACTGTCCTCTTATCTCCCACTGATAAACCCTTGGGATACTTTACAGAAATGGATAGGGTGAAGAGGAAATTGGCCAGCAAAGATGAAACTACAAAAAAGTGATAATGAAGTAAAATTAAAATCAATTATACAAGGGCCGGCGCTGTGGCACAGCGGGTTAACGCCCTGGCCCTGCACCCACGTGGGAGACCCGGAGGAAGCTCCTGGCTCCTGCCTTTGGATTGGCGTAGCTCCGGCCATTGCGGCCAACTGGAGAGTGAACCAACAGATGGAAGACCTCTCTCTCTCTCTGCCTCTCTTCTGTGTAACTCTTTCAAATAAATAAATAAATAAATCTTTTTAAAAATCAATTATACCATAATAGCTGACAAGGAAAATGTTAATACTGTTGCCGTTCCAGAGACTTTCAATGTGCAGTTAGAGAAATGTAATAGAAGCAAATTTATTAGTATGAGGAAAGTGACTTTGATGAAAAAGATGAAGATGTCCTGGGGGGAGGGGAGCGGGAATCACAAAAATATCCCTCAGAGATATTTCACAACATTAAAAAGCACAGAGGATAATGTAGGAGGATGACAATTCACCAAGGCATAGCTCTCCACACATGCTGAGAAGAAAAGTGTTGCTTAAACTATTCTTGATAGTTTTTAGGATAAATAAATAGTTTAATTCTCATTATAATATTTTTAACTGCAAAGACAAGTGCCAAGTATAATTTCTAAGACAATTCAATAGGGGATGAATCATCTTCAGCAAATGGTGCTGGAACAGTAGATACCCACATCAATGCATTGAGGTTGAGCCTGTTTCATAATACTATACGCAAAAATTACCTCAAAAAGGATCTAAGCCCTAAACACAAGAGATTCTTCTTAGAAGAAATCACAGGAATAAAATCTTTGTGACCTTGGTCAAGGCAATGCTTTCTTGGATATTTAAAGTATAGCAACCAAAAACAAATCAGAATTTCATCAAAATTCCAAAGTTTTGGGCCAAAGGACACCATCAAAAAAGTGAAAGACAACTTACAGAATGGGAGAAACAATTTTAACTCTTATCTGGTAAGGGTCTAGTACCTAAAATACTTATTGGGCCTGGCATTGTGGCACAACGGGTTAAGCTACCACCTGATACCGACATCCCATGTGTGTGCCAGTTCAAGTCTCAACTGCTCTACTTCTCATCCAGCTGCCTGCTAATGCATCTAGGAAGGCAGCAGACAATAGCCCAAGTCCTTGGGTCCCTGCCACCTACATATTGACCAAGAAGCTGCTGGCTTCAACCTGGCCTTTGCAGTCATTTGGGGAGTGAACCAGCAAATAGAAGATCTCATTCTCTTTCTCTCTCTCATTCTGCTTTTCAAATAATCTTTAAAAAGAAAAGAAAAAGATATATAACTCAAATTTAAAAGTTGACCAATGGTTTGAACAGAAATTTTTCAAAGTAATCAATTTTTCAGAAATAATCAAAAAGTCCATGAAAAGATGCTGAAGAATATTAACCATCAGGGATATGTAAATAAAAACCATGATAGGATAACACTTCAAACCCCTTAGGATAGCTGTAATAGTAAAAATAGACAAAAATAAATATTGGCAAGGGTGTGAAGTGACTAGAATCTGCATATATGCTGGTGGGATCATAAAATAGTGCAGCCACTTGGAAAAGAGTTTGGTAGCCTTCCCGCCGGTCTGGTGGCCCAGTTGCAGCGTGGCGACCCTCGGCACGCCTGTGAACATGGCGCTGCGAGTGGCTCGGAGCATGTGGGCTGCGGCCTGCAGCCTGCAGCCTGCTCGCAGCCTCGGCTCCCTCTGCACCCTGCTGGCCTCTGCCCTGGCAACTGCGGGCAGGCGCCGTCCGGACGCTGCACAGGGGAACCCACTGTGCTCTCCGTGTGTAAATTCACAGAGAAACATGAATGGGTAACAAGAGAAAATGGTATTGGAACAGTAGGAATCAGCAATTTTGCATAGGAAGCTTTGGAAGATGTTGTTTATTGTATCTGCCTAAAGTTGGACAAAGTTGAAAAAACAAGATGAATTTGGTGCTTTGGAAAGTGTGAAAGCTGCTAGTGAACTCTATTCTCTATCAGGAGAAGTAACTGAAACCAATGAAGCCCTTGCAGAAAACCCAGGACTTGTCAACAAATCTCGTTATGAAGATGGTTGGCTGATCAAGATGACACTGAATAACCCTTCAGAACCAGATGAACTAATGAGTGAAGAAGCCTATGAGAAATACATAAAATCTACTGAGGGATCAAAGTGGAACCCTTACATGAACTAGTATGGAATAACTTAATCCAGCACAGTTTTATCTTAAATTAGTGGCGGACAGGACTTAAAATAGCAACTTTTAGCAAGATTGATGGAAGAAATACTACCTTCAACTCTGCTACTTGAAGAAAATACACCCTAACTTTGTAATGACTACAGATGAACACAATATGCATCTTTTTCACGGTACCTTGTGATTTTTATACTAGGCTCTAGGCACTGGTATTCAGAGAACATAGTTATCTGTGGTAAAAGCTAGTTATAAAAGTAATGTAATTCAACATTGTTATCTTAAGCCTTATTTAATATTCTAACTTGCTTATACCCATCCCTGGATTGGGGTCAAAATATGAATTGATAGAACAATACTATCTTAATTTTGCAGTATACTGCATTTGCTGGTGCTGGTTTATACAGTGAAGCAGCAGCTCTACAGCAAAATAAGAAACATAATAAAATTTTCAACTTCCTCAAAAAAAAAAAAAGTTTGGTAGTTCCTCAAATGTTAAAGAGAGTTACCATATGACTCAGCAGTTCCACTTCAGGTAAACATGGGTACTCTGAAAAGTTCATTGGAAGAGTGAATTAGAAGCTAATGTGTATTTTCCATGAACTTTATGATACCCAAGAGAAATTTAAATGTTGCTCACATAAGAACTGGTACACGAATGTGTATAGCAGCATTATGCATTGCAAGCCAAAATGTGAAAACAACTCCAATGTCCATCAACTGAGGAACAGATATATAAAATGTGGTAAGGACATCCATAAAGTAGGGTATCACTGTGCCACGATAAGGAATGAAATATTGATATATGCTACAACATGGTTATACCTTGAAAACACCAGAAGTAAATGAAGTCAGATACTAAAGGTCACATATATTATATTATTCCATTTATGTAAAATATCCAGAATAAGCAAACTGACAGAGAAAAGAGAGTAGACTAGTGGTTACCAGGGGCTTAATGAGGGGGATTGGGAAGTTACTGCTTAAGGGACATGGACAGTGGTTGGTGTTGCAGTACAGTTGGTTAAGCCATTGCTTAAGATACCCACCCACATCCCATTTCAGAGTGCCACTTCAAATCCCTGATGTTGCACCTCTGACCCAGTCCCCTACTAATGTGCCTGGGTAGGCAGCAGATGGTAGCCCAAGTACTTGGACTCCTATACCCATTTGAGACACCCAAATGGAGCTTCTGGCTCCTGGCATCAGCCTGGCCCAGACCTAACTGTTGTAGTCATTTAGGGAAGTAAACTAGGAGATGGAAGATTTCTGTCACTCTGCCTTTCAAATAAATAAACCAAGGACACAGGATTATTTTTAGGGTTATGAAAATGTCTGGAATTAGATTATGGTGATGAGTTCATAATCATGTGACTACAACAAAACTGAAATAAATTTTATGGTATATGAATTATATCTCAATTTAAAAATTTTTTTTTAAAAATTCACCCTGACCACCAAACAGGTACAGTGAGGTCTAGGGAATGAAAAAACAAATTAATAGTGTTAACAGATTTTTCACTCCCTTTATATTATACTTGGTAAGAATTTTTGATGTTTTGACAAAAAAATGTAAAGGTCACAGAAAAATCATATTTTCATTATTAAGTCATTTGCATGGTTTTAGCTCACAATGTCGCTTTTTACAGTCCCAAGCTATCATGCAAATCAAGAACCAAAAGGTCAGTAAGGAAATCTCAGCTGAAGCATTTCTTGAAGTACTGTAAAAACAACTGAACGCTAATGTGACTGATTACGTACCTGTAATTCCTCTGCTGTGGAAACATCTAGTCCTGTTAGATCTTGTATTCTCATATTAATTCGAGACACCACAGGGTTTTCATAGCCAGAAAGCCAGGCACTAAGAATAAGAAGAAAACACCAGTTTACTAATGTTTTATTACATGAAGGCCACAGTTCTGTATTTAAAAGCTACAATATATTGTAAAATAACCTTTCTCAAATGGTAAGTAGTTGATTTGCTTCTCAGTATGATTACTGCTAATGAATATTATAATTTTTTTTAAAGATGCCACATTCTAGTTAGAGGTCAAAAAGGAAACAAAGCTAATCTCATTTACTAGAGTTTCTATGAAAACAGTTGGATGAGAGGCTATTTACCACTGGTTACACTGAGAAGTCCTGAAAACTCTAGAAAACTGCATACCAAACTGAAAACAATTGTTCCTTCTAAGTAAAGTTTAAAAACTGGGGGGGGGGGGGGGGGGGGGCACTGTGGTATAGCGGGTAAAGCTGCCGCCTGCAGTGCCAGCATCCCATATGGGCACCAGTTCTAGTCCTGGCTGCTCCACTTCCAATCCAGCTCTCTGCTATGGCCTGGGAAAGCAGTGAAAGATGGCCCAGGTCCTTGGATCCCTGCACCCACTTGGGAGACCTGGAAGAGGCTCCTGGCTCCTGGCTTCAGATCGGCGCAGCTCCAGCCATTGCAGCCAACTGGGGAGTGAACCAGCAGATGGAAGACCGACCTCTCTCTCTCTCTCTCTCTCTCTCTCTCTGCTTCTCCTTCTCTCTCTGTGTAACTCTTTCAAATAAATGAACAAATCTTTAAAAAAAAAAAAAAAGAATTGACTGGGGTGGGAATAATAGGGTCTTCAGCGTGATCTAAATAATGCTAATACTTTATAGGGAAAAATATTCATGTATATCTGCTTAAATAAAAATATAATTTTAAAAGGTACCCAAACACCTCCATTAAGATGGCTATGATAAAAAAGATGGACAAATACAAGTGCTAGTGAGGATGTGAAGAAACTGGCATTCTCATACCTCACTGATGAGAATACAAAACAGTGTAGCCACTTTGGAAAAGAGTCTGGCAGTTCCTCAAAATGTTAAACATGGAGTTACCATATGAGCCATGCCACTTATAGGTATATACTCAATGGAAATTAAATTGTATGTATACACGAAAACTGGTATGGAGGTGTTGACAGAAGTACTATTAATAATAGAGTCCCAAAGTTTAAACAACCCAAATATTCATCAACTCGTGAGTAGATACATAAAATGTAGTATAACCATAAAATGAAATACTACTGTGTCACAAAAAGGAATTAAATACTGAAACTTACTACAAAATAGAATCTTGAAAACATTGTGAAATTAGTAAACATTACATTAAGAAACTAGATACAAAAGGCCAAATGTTATATTATTCCACTTTTATGAAATATATACAACAGGTAAATCGATAGATATATAAAGTAGCAGAGTGATTTACCAGGTGATGGAGTTAGGAGGGAATGAGGAGTGACTAAGAACGGGTACAGGATTTCCTTGTGGGATGATGAAATGTTCTAGAATTAGACAATGGTGATGGTAGTACAACTAAAAAGACTAAAAATCACTGAAACATACACTTTAAAAATGGTAATTTTGGGGGCTGGCACTGTGGCACAGTGGGTTAAGCCACTGCTAGCAGTGCCAACACTCCATAGGGTCACTGGTTCAGTCCCAGCTGCTCCACTTCTGATCCAGCTCCATGTTAATGTGCCCGGGAAAGCAATGGAAGATGCCCAAAGTTCTTGAGCCCCTGCACACACGTGGGAGACTTGGAAGAAGCTCCTGGCCCAGCTCTGGCCATTATGGCCATTTGGGGAGTAAACCAGCAGATGGGAAGATCGATCTCTAATTCTTTCTTTCTTTCTTTCTTTCTTTCTTTCTTTCTTTCTTTCTTTTTTTTTTTTTTTTGACAGGCAGAATAGACAGTGAGAGAGAGACAGAGAGAAAGGTCTTCCTTTGCCATGGTTCACCCTCCAATGGCCGCCGCGGCCAGTGCACCGCGCTGATCCGATAGCAGGAGCCAGGTGCTTATCCTGGTCTCCCATGGGGTGCAGGGCCCAAGCACTTGGGCCATCCTCCACTGCACTCCCGGGCCACAGCATAGAGCTGGCCTGGAAGAGGGGCAACCAGGACAGAATCCGGCGCCCCGACCGGGACTAGAACCCGGTGTGCTGGCACCGCAAGGCAGAGGATTAGCCTAGTGAGCCGCGGCGCCGGCCAATCTCTAATTCTTTCAAATAAAAAAATACTTTTTTAAAAAAATGGTAATTTTTATTGGAACTATATTTGAATTTAAAAAGGTATCCCTTTACAAATGCTTTTCCTCAGCCCTTTTCTTTCTTTACTTTTCTCAAGCTTTGATTCTACAGTTCACAATTTTAACAAAATTATTGCTGAAAGCCTACACTGAACTGTCTGGCAGAAACAGTCCTCTATGAATTTCTTCTCCAAGTGTATACCCATGTCACCAAATCTACTGGAGAATCCTGAAACAGGGCAGTTATGTTCCACTAAAAATTCAAGTGGGTCTTCACTTCCTCCTTCACTCTGACCCTTAACCCACATCAGTGTCCCCCTCACTCAGCAGATCACATCTCCTGCTTCACAGAGAAAATAAAACTATGTAACTTTCTGTATACTTGCATCTACCTGCTCCTGGTCCACTCTAGTTCCTATAGGAGAGATCTCTCTCCATTATCTAAGGCTAATCCTCTGCCTTATTCTTTTAAGTCCTGCCATCTCAGGAACCATAAATCACTAATTAATTCTTCTCTCACCTATAAAAACAACTTTATCCTCTTAATAATTCTTCCCACAGGGGCTAGCTTTGTGGCATAGAGTGTTAAGTCACCACCTGCAACACCAGCATCTCATATGGGCACTGGGTCAGGTCCCGGCTGCTCACTTCTGATCCCTGATAATGGCCTGGGAAAGCAGCAGAAAATGGCCCAAGTGTTTGGGCCCCTGCACCCACGTGGAAGACCCAGAAGAAGCTCCTGGCTTCATCCCGGCCCACCCCTGGCCGGTGTGGCCATTTGGGGAGTAAATCAGTGGATCGAAGAACTCTGTGTGTAACTCCACCTTTGAATTAATGAACCTTAAAAAAATTCCTCTCGGGCCGGCGCCGCGGCTCACTAGGCTAATCCTCTGCCTTGCGGTGCCGACGCACCGGGTTCTAGTCCCGGTCGGGGCGCCGGATTCTGTCCTGGTTGCCCCTCTTCCAGGCCAGCTCTCTGCTGTAGCCAGGGAGTGCAGTGGAGGATGGCCCAGGTGCTTGGGCCCTGCACCCCATGGGAGACCAGGAGAAGCACCTGGCTCCTGCTATCGGATCAGCGCGGTGCGCCTGGCCACGGCGGCCATTGGAGGGTGAACCATGCAAAGGAAGACCTTTCTCTCTGTCTCTCTCTCTCACTGTCCACTCTGCCTGTCAAAAAAAAAAATAATAAATTAAAAAAAATAAAAAATAAAAAAATTCCTCTCATAGTTTTTAACTGGCTATAAGTCTCAACGATTACTGGATAAAAATTAAACATTCTTCAATTACTTCCCTCCAGATACTAATCACTTTCTATTCCCTCTTCAAGTCAATTTTCTCTCAGCCTCCTCATCTGTCAACCCACTCTAATCTAGCTTTAGTGTCTCAATCACATCATCAAAATTATTGTTGGGGGCCAGTGTTATGGCACAGTAGGCTAAGCATCTGCCTGCAGTGCCAGAATCCCATATGGGCACCGATTCAAGTCCTGGCTGCTCCACATGCTTGAGTCCCTACACCCATGTGGGAGACCCAGATGAAGCTCCAGGCTCCTTGGGGTTGGCGCTGTGGCATAGCAGGTAAAGCCGCCGCATGTAGTGCCAGCATCCCATATGAGTGCCAGTTTGAGTCCCAGCTGCTCCACTTCCAGTCCAGCTCTCTGCTATGGCCTGGGAAAGCAGTAGAAGATGACCCAAGGCCTTGGGCCCCTGCACCCACGTGTGAGACTCGGAAGAAGCTCCTGGCTCCGGATTGGCTCAACTCCAGCCATTGAGGCCAATTGGGGAGTGAACCAACAGATGGAAGACCTCCCCCTCCCTCCCTCTCTTCTTTCTCTCTCTCTGCTTCTGCTTCTCCCTCTCCCTCTCCCCCCCCCCCGCTTCTCCTTCTCTAACTTTCAAGTAAAATAAATAAATCTTAAAAAAAAAAAAAAAAAGAAAAAGAAAAAAAAACTCCAGGTTCCTGGCTTTGGCCAAAGCAGCCATTTGGGGAATGAACCAGCAGATCAGAAATCCCTCTTTCTGTCTCTCCTTCTAACCTTGCCTTTCAAGTAAATAAAATAAATCTTCAAAAAAAATTTTACCAATGCCACCCATAACCCTACTAAACTAGTAAAGCTAATGACATTTTTCTAATTCTCATTGTATTTGTTCCTTCAGTAATACTGAAAAAAAATTGTATTATTCATTTACTGTTGAGATTTTATGATTTATTTATTCATTTTAAAGGCAGAGCAATAGAGAAAGGGAAAGAGAGAGAGGGAGGAAGTTTATGTGTATGTGGTGGGGGTGGGGGTGGGGGCAGTCTTTCATTGCTGGTTCATTTCCCAAATGGCTGTAATGGCTGTGGTTAGACCAGGCTGAAGCTGCCTAAAACTCCATCCAGGTCTCCCAACTGAGTGGCAGGGCTCAAGCACCTGGGTCATCATCCATTGTTTTCTCAAGCACATTAGCAGGGACCTGGACTGGAAGTAGAGCAGCTGGAACTTGAGCCACCTCTACAGTATGGGATACTGGCATTGTAAGTGGTGGCTTAACATGCTGTGCCACCACACCAGCCCCACTGTATGGATTTGTACAATGTCACTAGCTACTTGCTTGAATAACAAGCAACACTGTCACACTGGGTGACCACACTTCTAATACATGAGTAAGAAAGACACCTTCCAGTAAACACCTAATACTATTTTGCTGGTTTTAGGGATTCATAATAAGTATACATAGTATAAAATTCTTATTATAGCATATATAAGCATAAATAGTATTTTAAATAGCCTATTACTTATTAGCATGGACAAAATAAAT